CCAAATGACCTTTTCATATGATTTCAGAAATATAAATTCTAATTAAAAAAAAGCTTTTGTTTCTTGCTTTTGTAGAATATGGTCCTTTTCACATCTGATGAGAGTTTTATTCTGTTTTACAGTAAGGTTTAATGAATCTTATTTTTTCCTAGGTGTTTGAGTGAAAGCTGCTGCTCTTGCACAAGTTAAATGGACCATATAGGGATACTGAGAAGTGAAATTTTAATTCAGTGTGCAGTCTGAATTCTTGAAATATGAGGATCATGGCTTTAGTTTTACAAATCTGCAACGACACAGCTGAAGATTGCTACACCAAAGTGCTGTCTCTGATTTGAAGCACTTGCCCTAGGTGTCAAAGTATTTAATGCTTTAAAGTTCATGGACTTTTTTTCTGTAAGACACTATTGTTGGTAGGTCATTATTTTTCCTGAAGAAAGGAGTACTTCTGCAGAGCAGAATGGGAAGAATTACAGGTTTTATCAGTATTCTGTATCCATATGGTAAACAGAATGTTTTAATGCATACAGGACAGTTTGAGATCTTGAGCGTTCATACTGTTTTGATCCAAAGGAGAAGTGGGAAATGAACAGGCAGTCATACTCCATCTTCTTTAGTGTAGGGGGTGTTAAGGTTATTACAGATAATCTGCAATGTAACACTTCCACGTTGGGTCCTCCTGTCCCTCAAGAGGGCCTCAGAAAGCAGCAGTTGTTCAGCTGTTCCCTCTCTTCCAGCCTCGATTTTCTGGGGGGGTCGTCAAGGGCTGAAGACATGCTCTTCTTGCCTCTTTAGCTTTGCTTTTTATCTCTTTTCCACATTTTGATATTCCTGGAGTGACACAGCAAAACAGGTTTTATTTCACCTACACTTGGTTGTGGGTGGGTTGGGCATGTTCCATCACACCACCTTGTCAAACTGAGGTGAACGGGTTTTTAGGAGCCTGTCTAAAATGTGACCTACTTTTCTGGTTGTCATCTGTGCCCATGAGAATTTTGGATAGGTGTCAGTTAATGAGCTGCTTCCGTGCTGGGTAGGTGAATGCTGCTTTCAGCATAGTATAATGTGCTGTATAAGGCTTAGTTTATACCCCAAATACCGACAGCTGTCCTTG